CACCTCTGAGATGCAATTATCTCCTTCTACAAATTTTTGAAATTCAGTAAGGAAATTAAATTTGACAGAAACAAACATTGGTCTTAAGGAGAAGAACATCTGGCCTTATATACTGGTGGCACTACCAAAGAATTCCAGCCTTCTCAGTGTTTTGTGACAGGAACCTGACTGATCCAGCTGACTGCATGCTATCTGAAGTCCTGTGACAGGAAGCTTCTGAAGCCCTCATCCAAAGGAAGAGGGAGAGTGGGAACTGCCACGATTGGGCTTTCTCTACCCTGATAAAGTATATTATGGAAAACTGGTCTGGATCAGGTGCCTCTGTTTTTTCAGCATTTTCATGAAAGAAAAAAAAAATGAAGGAAAACAAGGCTACTATTGAAACTAGGAAAAAAAACTAGAAAAGAATACTGTCATCTTCTTTATAGAGTTACTAGGAGGATTAAGTCACATGAGGAAACACTTAGCCTAATGCCTACCACCCAGGAGTTAAAAGTGCAGTAACAGCAGTCATTTGTTGCCAAATGGTAATTAAGTGGTAACAAAGAGAAACAGAAAATGTAGGAATCACATTTCATTTATAATTAAATTGGGAATATGAGGCTTTGGGATATGTAGGCATGCTGAAGGTTGATAAATGCAAACACATTTGTGAAAAAAATTCAAAGATATTTTAAAGTGATTTCAATCAAAGCATCTTCAAAATAATTACTCTTAATTTAATATAAGTAAAATCTTAATTATGTTTTCCTCCAACTAACTTTATTTAACGTTAATTTTTTACCCATGGCATATGTATGCTCTTATTATATATTCATAGCAATAATCCCTATATGCAAATTTTAGATATGAAAGATTAAAACAAAATATTATAAGAAGAAGGACAGGGGACTTGAAATGAGAAAACTGAGGATATACCTTTGGCATTAGCTATTCAGAAGACATGTGACCTTTAATATGTCATCTAGATTCCCCAGCTCAGTATCTTGATCTGCAGTATAAGCATGTTCATACTTACTCTGTCTCCCTTATGTAAGGAACATCCAATGGTGTCCTAGAGCTGACACGTCTTCTATGAGAACTAAGAGCATCTTTTCCCAACTCTTTACTCAATGACATCAAGTTGGTACTTTGAAATTAATAATCATGAAATATTTACACCATGAAAACTGACAGATGCTACAAATCAATATATTTTCCATACATCCTCCATTTCTCCTCTGAGGTTAATTAGTTATTAATCTTTTGCTAGTACACTACTGGGAATGGCTAATGATAAAATGCGCCTGAAAGTGTTTTGTGAACTATAACATGTAATGCAAATATGTTATAATGTTATGAAAAATTATAGATATGGAATCTATGACTTGCATATCAAAATGTCATTAAATGATCTTGCCCAATTAAAACGCAAAGATATAAATGAGATAGGATACACTTAAATGACTTAATTGGCTTGTATATTACTGAAATGGCCTATCAAATCAAGCCTATGAAGGGTTGTTACACACAACCTTAGCAAAGTAACTAACCATCTGTTTGCCTGGGACTAATATGGGCCTTCTTAGGTATAACGGAAACATTAACATTCAATCCAATCCAATCCAAGGACCAGAACGAGCTACATAATCTGTAGGACCCAGTGAAAAATGAAAATATTAGACGCCTTGTTCAAAATTATTAAGAATTTCAAGATAGCAAGAGCAGAGCATTAAACCAAGTACAGGCAGTTCTGCATAGGGAACTCTCAGCTGCATGCTTATGAAACTGCCCTACCTAGGACATAGGACTTTCAGTGCTAAAACCAGGCAGTCTGGGGGCAAACAGAGACTAGGATGGTTAGTTACCCTACCTTTGCTTCAAAAAGTAGTTAGCACTAATATATTGATAATGTTTTAGCACATCTAATGAAATACACCAAAGTACATCAAGTACTTGAAATACATCAAGTACTATCAACTCAGTCATAAATAAAGAGTAGGAGGAGAATACGGCTTAAATAATACTTCTGTCTATAAAGATATTTGTTTCAGTCTGTACAACTTAGAGCACTAAATGATTCTGCTGTGGGGCTCAATGTTTCCAAGTCTTTCCAAACACACAAATCTAATCTTAGAATATAAAAAGCCATTATAAGATTTTTATCTTAAAGCAAGTTTCAGACACATTCTAAATGAAGAAATGGACCATTATTTTTTTTCCCCAGAAATTTTTTCTAGTTTTTATTTTTTTAGTTTATCTTAATTGTTGAAAGTATTGGACCATTATTTTGGTGTATAAGATCTTCTAGAGGTGTGTCCATAAACTGGAAATAAGATCTATGAAATGTTAAAAAAAAATCACTGAACGGTGCAATTATGTATATACTGTGTGTTTATAAAATGTATGTAAAGAAAAAGATTAGATGTGCACACACACAACACACACACAAGTATTGAGGCTACCAAGTGGAGAAATTAATCTGATGTTTAAAATAATAAACAATTTAAAGTGATACCACATGAAATAGTTCTGTTGCTCTCCTATATTGAGTGTACTGAGAGGACTATGACTGGTTCAACCTTGTCTTTGTGCAAAAATGAAGATAATTAGAGCAATTCTTAGTGCATGTTAGCGTTACCTGGAAGACTTGTTAACACAAATGGTGAATCCCACTGACTTTCTAATTCAGTAGTTTTCTAAGAGGGCCAGAGTATTTGCATTTCTAACAAGTGTACAAGTGTTATTGCTGGCTCTAGGACGATACTTTTGAGGACCACAGAATTTTTGTAGCATTTGTGACTTAAGTATCATCTAATACGTAATTATATGGTAAGAAACAATAACTACATTTACTTCATTACTCTGTTTCTGTAGTTGAATTTCCTGAGTCAAATTAAAAGTATTTTCTAATAGACATAAATGCTAATTAATTACATGTATGGCTGTTGAGCTGGCATTTTATTTGAGAAAACTTGAATTGGATTGAATGTTAATGCTTCTGTTATACCTAAGGACTTATTTAGATCCTAAATCTTTTTTTTGACCTACAATATTACATTCTGCTGCCAAGGATTTTAAATTATAAGCCTTTTAAAAGTACTCAGGTATCAAATACAACCTTCTAAAATGATTGTGTATAACCTTGTGAGGCTATGCACTTAGTTTCTGAATTAAGTTGCACATTAGGAGAGTAAATTAAGGGGAATATAGCCAGTGGGTCTCAGTCACTTCTTTTCAATCTTCAGATACATTAATGTACATTTTTTACATCTTTTTGGGGGGTTTCTTTTCTGCAATTAAGTCTTTGGAACTCTATGAAATATTAAAATTGGTTAGAGATGAACTTAAAATTAAATGAAATAAATTAAATGTACTGTGTTCTGAAGATATAACTACATACTTTTTCACATTTCAAAATCCCACAGACAAGATAAAGTGCAGCATCTATAATCCAGCTTCCTAGAAGGAAGTATACTGAATTAAATATCATGATGAGTAAAAACGTCCACCAAGTGCCTGCCACTTAGTAGTTGCTCAATTTTTTAAACTTCAATACTGAATAGGTATCAGTATGAACCTATTTCAAAGCAGAAGTAAGTGATGTGGGATTTAAAGGCACAAGCATTTTTGAACTGTCAGAATATAAAAGGAGAAAATTTCAAGTGAAGGAAATAATGTATTCAGATAAATAATATATTCAATAAAGTTTTTAAAGAGTGGGTTCAAGTTTAGAGGCGGGAAAGCAATTTATCCTAAATCGGTGAATTTAAACCCTGGTTGGACATTAAAATCACCTGGAGTGTTTTTAAAACTCCAAGTGCCTGGGTTTCACTCTATACCAAATAAATCTAAATCTCCAAGGATCAGAGATAGGCATCAATATTAAAAAACAAACGAACAAATAGGAACACCCCCAGAGTACTACTGGGAAAGAAATGAAAGAGAAAGAGATGGATTGACAAGTGGAAGTTTCCTATTGTTATCATCAGCCTGAAACTATGTTTACTAATTTCTAGGAATGTAGCACACAGATCTGAAGGCATGACACGGAGTTATTTGGGCAACTGTCACTGCCCTTCACATACAACTTGGAGTCATTTTGGCATCTGTGACTGCACACAAGGCCCCTGCTGGCTTATTAGACTTTCCATCCATGGGGAATCCTTGGACAAGAGAGAGGCAATAACACAATCCACACCTTGCTGTTAATGGGTGAAAATAGCAAGTCAATAAATTCATTTCATAGTACATGGGAAAAAGAGGTTCCTAAGGTGTGTCAGCAAGTCAGTACAAACACAGCCTAACTCAAAGGTACAGAAAAACAGCTCAGGTTTTGAAATGAATCAAAGCTCTATTCAGTTCCTTGATCCTCTCAATTACTAGCTTGAATTTAGATGTGTTAACTTTTATAAACTTAAGTTTTCTCATCTGCAAAACTGGAAAAATAGTAATATTTACACCACAAGTAGTCAGGGGATTCAAATGAGATCATGTACACTAAAGATACCTGAAAAGCATGTTGCGTGATTTATTATATACTTGATGCCTGGAATTTCCTCTTTGACTTGCCCTTCTAAATGAGAATAAAATGTCAGTGAGAGAAGCTACTGATGTTGGTGTAATCATTTATTTCTTCCAAGGTAATTTACTGTCCAAAAAATAGTGTAAAGTAAAATAGAGAATAGTTTGTTCATATTTTTATATTATTCACACCCATGATATTTTCTCTATTTTGCCACTTAAATATCAGAGTAGAGCTCTTTGAAGCTATCATTTCTATAAGCTCGTTGCATTTGATAAATGGGTGCTTATCATGAGAGCTACTAACCAAGACTAGCAGAAAACCCTATTGTGCCACAACACTCCACCATCAGGACCCAGAATGTAAACAATCCCAATATGAAATGAATCTTATTATTCTTTTATGACTTTGAATTAGGCTTTCACTTATCATTGTAAGATTTTCAATCATTAAGGCAAACTAATTGTGTTTTTTCCAATTTTCTTTTTGCCAACAGGATTTGCTAGCCCACTTACTGGGATAGCAAATGCCTCTCAAAGCAGTATGCACAATGCCTTGCACATCTACATGAATGGAACGATGTCTCAGGTGCAGGGATCTGCCAATGATCCCATTTTCCTTCTTCACCATGCATTTGTTGACAGGTTGGTGGGCACTTCTTTACAAATTATGTGCATATTGGTGTTAAATGTCGTGTGACTTTAGCTATTACATAAAAGCTAAGGAGTTGTGGTGGTCTATTGTGTCAGATCAGGTTCTCCCAGAAACAGAACTTAAACTAAGGATTTGAACGTGAATGTTTTATTTAAGTGTTTTATTACAGAGAAACCAATAAGAGATTGAGTAAAGCAGGTAGAAAAGAGATGAAGCCGAGTAAGAGGACAATTTCAGCTGAAGTCCCAGACTCAGCCAGATCTTACACCTCAGTTTGTCTTGCCTTAAGACAAAGGAACAGAGTTTTTGGACTCCCATATTAAATATAACCACTGGCTACAGATTTCCGAGGTAGGAGCTGTAAAGCTCCCAGGTACTACCCAATTCCAGACAGGCAATAGGCTCCAGTGTCCAAGGGTCATCTTCGGAGGGTTCTGGGGGCAGTGGTTAGGAGTAAAGCATGTAGAATCAGGGAGGTGGGCACATAGAGCTGGTGCAAGGCTAGCTAAAGCCACCTGGATAGGGCACGAATCTGCTATATTTCATATTCTCTCTCTCTCTTCCTCTCTCTGGCAATGTATTTTTATTTCTTCTTTTCCAACCTCAGACTCTCACGTATAAGCAGATACAAGTCTTTGATGTGAGCATTCCATGAGCAGTTCTCCAGAAAGGATGCACTAAGGCCCAACCACCCTGTTTAATGTGACTTCATTCCCCTGGAGCATGTTTCCCCCTTATGAACCTTCATCCCTGATAGTAGAAAAGAAAGTATATGGAGGATGGTCAGCTGTCTGTTTCTGGGTTCAAGGAGAAGAAAATAAAGTATCAAATCATGACAGACAAATGTAGGGCTCTTTTTTGTCCCTGCTAAGGTAATTTCCTCATAACAGCCAGTGAACAAAAGGCACAGATTTATACCTACCACTAAGATAATGCTGTTATTCTCTTTGGCAAATATAACAGTTTCTCTATTTCCTGTTGTAAAGATAAGGAAATGGAAACTGAAAACTAAATGTTTCACTCATTACCATTTCTACCTCACTCATGTTCCCAGGAACATGGACATAATATCAAATAAGAAAGGGGCCATTAGTCTGAAAGATTAGATTTTTATTGCTTTTATGGCAACTCTAATATTATAGAAATTAACATCCCAAGCCAAGTTTTATTCAGAAAACAGTTTTCAAGAAAGTGTGTAAACACTAAATTATGATAGCAATATAATACTATAACCACCTATACCCATATAAAGGAGCGAGGGAGAGGGTTGGATAAACATCTTACCAGAAAAGATAGATTGAACTCTTTCTACTGTGTCATTTTTACATTGTATTGTTGTGAGTTTTTGGCAGTTTTTTATCTTCAGTGTTATCTCATGAACTTTAAAAACTTCTAGATTTCCTAGACACCTTAATGCACTAAGCAAGGAATCACAAACTATGGCTTATAGGTCAAAACTATCTTCTGCCTTCTTTGTAAATAAGATTTTATTGGAAGATGGGAACAATCATTTATTTACATATTGTCCATGGCTGCTTTCATGCTACAATAGCAGAGTTGAATAGTTGTGACCAAGACCAAATGGGCACAAAGTTTTTTGTGCCTTACAGAAAAGTTTGTTGACCCCTGCCAAACCACAAAATCCAGTATTTATATACCAGATAGGAGAAAAGAAAAGAAAAAAAAGTTGACCTTTAGCTAGCCCACCAAATATATAGAAAATGCTATAACTGAATTCAATATCTGGAGGCATGTTTGTTTAACAGGATAAAGTCATTATGCAGATGTAAGGCTTTTAGATGCTACTCCGCCACCTTGGAAAATTAAAAATTTCTGTCCTCCCAGAATTTTCAGCTAAACCTACCTTTACATTAGATATCTGTGTGGTTATTAAAATAATTCAAAAATCAGCAAATGGCAAAGTAGTGTCTCATTGAGCCCACACAGACAAGCTGATAAAGATTCTGGGGATGGAGAGGGAGAAAGAAACAATACTATAAAGATGGATAGAGACCTGTGGATACCACAGGATACTACGGCATCTGAGATGGCCTCTCAAGTCTCTTCTTACACTTACAGAGACTCATTTCTTCAATCAGAGGTCTATTCGCTGTCAATGAGTCACAAATATATTTATTGAGCACCTACTACATGCTGAGTATATTTGCCTGAATATTCTACATTTGTTCCTGCCTCTATGCAATGCTTATACTATTTTCCAAACCTGAAACCTATTTTCCTTGAGTTATCTAATTTCTATACAATCTTCAACGCTAGTTTTAATTTCACCCCCTCCATTAAGTATGCCCAGACCATGACTGTGTATAACCATCTCTCTCATCAAGGGTGTGTTGGAACCAGCCCACACTGGCTAGCAAGGTCTAAATGTAGATCTTTTCCCAACTCTGCTGTAGCGACCTCAAGCTGTAGCTTGAAATCAGCTATGATAGGAGTATTTATACAATGAAATCGGCAAGTGCTACAAATCAAGGCTTTTATACTGAGAGCTCGTTATTAAAATAATGGCCAGCACACCACTGTTCCCATCTATTACCTCACATCACATTCTCTCTCTACCCTTTATTTTGGACACATAATTCATATTGTTCTTATTGATTATGTTACTCATTTGTGCTTTGTCTCACCCACTAATCTGTGAGCTACTTAATGGCAGGGCCTATGCCTTTTATTATATTCATTTTTTTCTCAGGGTTTTGTCTAGCATATAATTAGTAGGTGTGTAACTAATTCTTTTTTATTTTAAAATGTTTCCTTGACACTTGGATTAAATATAGAAACAAATACAGGTTTTTACTTTATTTTTTTATTTTTTAAAATATATCTTTATTGATTTCAGAGAGAGGAAGGGAGGGGGGGAGAGAGAGAGAGAGAGAGAAACATCAATGATGAGAGAGTCATTGTTGATCGGCTGCCTCCTGCACACCCCTGGACTGGGGATCAAGCCACAATCTGGGTATGAGCCCTGACCAGGAATTGAACCCCGATCTCCTGGATCCTAGGTGGATGCTCAATTGTCAAGCCACACCTGGCCAGGCAAATACAGGGTTTTAAATAAGAATTTCATTGTATAGATTTAGTAATCACTTAATCACTTATTAACAGGCATTTTAGTTGTTCCTCCCTCTCTTTTTCTAAACAATATGTATATACAATTTTGATTTGTGAGTGTACCTAAAGAACAAATTATCAACGCTGAAATTGAAAGGTGTTTATTACACCTTATTACATTTAAAATTATTAGATATTTCCAAATTGCCTTCCAAAAATGACTCTGCCAGCTACATTCCCACAAATAGAGAATGAAAGAGTGTCTGTCTTCCTGTACTAGGTGTTATGAACCTTATTAACCTTCGCTACTCTGAAAAGTAGAAAACCGTTTATTTTAATTTTTGTTGCTACTCTGAAAAGTAGAAAAATATTCATTTGAATTTCTGTTTCCTATATATGTTACAGGATATATTTTTCTAAAATGTCTGTTTACATTTTCTGCTGTTTCTTATTAGGTTTATGTGGGTTTTTTATTACTGAACTATATAGGCTCTTCATACTTGTTTTTAATTGGCCGTTCTTGTCATAAACATTATAAATATTTTCTGCAGCTCTTAACCATCTTGTAAAGTTTTAGTGGTATGCTTCTAGCTATTCAGAAGTTGTTTTTATATGGTTCTTTTTATTCAGTCTTTTGTTCATGGCTTCAGAGTCCTTAACTTTTTGTATTTTTAGTTGTAAAAAGACTGAATTGATCTAAAGCTCCAAGGTCCTTTCTGGACTTTACAATACTCTGGGTAATGTTTTTTGAAAAATGACAGTAGAGTGCATTAGCACAATTACAGGGCTTGAGCAGATTTTGTAGTGACAGTTTAATGATGCTTTTAGTTATGATTAATAGGTAACTGACAAATGGATAAGTCCAACTCGTAGTTAAAATTATTTGTCTCTACTATTCAAAGGCCTGACAAGGGACTCTACACCCTTCTCAAGTTTGTAACAAAAAACCCACAACTTTCTGGCAGGGAGAGAGGGCTGCGGAGTAATCACTGCAACAGAAAGAATAGGCTGGAGTTTTGTTTATTCTTTTTCTCTAAGAAGATTGAATCTGGAGCATGCTAAAGACAGAGAAACTAGACACTTCAAACCAACCGAATGCCACAACATCCATCAAGCAAAGCTGATGTTTTCACAATGGAATCAAGAGCTTTTATGCCTATAGCTTCCTCAGGAAACAAGATGAACATCAGTGCTCAATGGTGCCCTGTGAATAAATGTCAAAGCAGCAGAGGGGGCTTTGGAAAGACTTCTATTTCTTGACACCAGTCACTCAAGAAGGACCCAGGTGGACACAAGCAAGTAGTCCTCTGCATGCTTGTGGTCATTCACCTGTGAATTCAACAAACATTAAGTGTCCTCTATGGGTTGTGTGCTATGTAAGGCCATGGGGATGCAGCAGTAACTAATACTCTTCCTCCCTACCTAATGCCTCCCAGTCTAGATGTGTAAGTAACAAAATATAACTTCTGGAATAAAAGTGGTTTAATAGGCTAGAGTATGTGAGAGCAAAGAGCACCCAGTAAATACGGGCCACAAGAGCAGTCTTTTTCATGCCCTGCGTCTGCAGCACCTGGCACTACGCCTGGCACTGAATGGATAGTCAATGGATATTCAGGTGTTATATTCTCTTGTTTGGAACACTCTTATGACTGGTGGCTTTATAAAGAATCAGTAGGATTTTGACCCATGAAATTTGGTAACAAAAACATTTAATTCATAGGAAACAAAACAAGAAAGGTACAGAAGTGTAAGGTAAAAAGAAACTTCAGGAATTAGGCCATAGTAAACACAGTACTAAAATACTAAAAGCACAGCTGGCACGTGAGCGTTTACTGTGTGCTAACTGCTAAGTGCATCGTATGGACTGACTCACGTGATACTACAGCAGTCCTGGGAGTTAAGTGTTATCATCCCCATCTTA